AGGACGGCCTGTCGGCAATGTCCACATAGTCGAGCAACATCTCCACAATCTTCAGAAAGGTGGGCCTCGCCTTTGGCTTTCGCTCCCAGGACTTGCACATAATCTGCCAGCTGTGAAAAAAATTGGCAAGGAATACAATTAGAATGATTCAAAGTGAAAATCGAAACACCTACAGAATGTCCGGACAGCTCTCCGGGCGGGTCATGCGACCGCCGTCGACGACAAACTTGAGCACCTCCTCATTGGAAAGTCCCTGATAGGGCTGCGAGGCAAGGGTGGCCATCTCCCAGAGGACGACGCCGTACGACCAGACGTCAGAGTAGGTGGTGAAGATGCCGTCCTTCAGCGACTCAGGGCTCATCCACCGCACCGGCAGCAGGCCCTTTCCGCCCTTGCGGTAGTAATCAGTCTCGTAGATGTCTACAAGTAGAGGGAAAATGGAACACAAATTAGTAAACTAAAAACTGATAAAAACCTGTCACACTGAAAGCTCACCTCTTGTCATGCCAAAGTCGCCAATCTTCACCGTCAGATCGTCGGCCACCATGCAGTTGCGAGCGGCCAGATCGCGGTGGACAAACTTCTTCGAGGCCAGGTACGACATGCCGTCGGCAACCTCAACGGCAATCTTAAACAGCTGCTCCAGAGTGGGCGGTTTTGAGTCGAGATTCTCCTGATAAAACAGAACTTTAGCTTAACTTCTAAACTACTTTCTAGTCTTACCTCATTGTCGGGTCGATTCTCCCGTAAATACTTTCGCAAATCACCTCGCGGCATAATCTCCATGAGGACGTACACCGGTGCATCCTTGGAGACGATGCCCAGCAGCTTCACCACGTGAAAGCTGTCAGTGAATGATCTGCAGAAAAAAAGCAAAACAAAGTTAGAAAGTTGCACACAAACTCAACCAATCAAAGAACACTCACTTCATCACATCAGCCTCCTTGAGAAAGTCAAATCGAAGCCGATTGCTCGAGTTGTCATTGACCGTCTTCACGGCGCAGCGGATCATCTCCTTCTGCTCGTTGATCATCGTGCCCTCGTAGACCATGCCGAAACTGCCCTGGCCTAGCTCACGAATCAGGTTGACGTTCTCCCGGGGCACCTCCCACTTTGGATCAGGAGTGTACACTGAAAAAAGAAAAGATAGAATTAAATAAAAACCGAAACGCCTTTTGTTTCACTTGTCTTCTCTCTCTCTCTCTCTCTCTCTCTCTCTCTCTTACCAAAATTGCTGCTCATGTAGTCCGGATTGACGCTGATGTAGTCGATCTTCATGCGCTTCAGGTAGCTCTTGTAGGCGAAGAGGCCCACAAAGGCGATCACAGTGATGAGCGCGAGAATGACAACGATAAAGATGAGGAGGAGGTTGTAGCTGGTGCTGGGCTCCTCCACAAAAATGTACAGCTCCTCGGTCCAGGCGCCGGGCCCAAAGAGCGACCGGGCGCGCACCTGCACCGAGTGGTTGCCCGGCGTCAGCTCCAGCTTGTAGCCTAGAACGCTGTTCTTCAGGTAGCTGGCCCGCGAGATGCACTCTATGGTCGGCTTTTTCTGTGCAGAAGGCAACCAAAAGATGNATGTACAGCTCCTCGGTCCAGGCGCCGGGCCCAAAGAGCGACCGGGCGCGCACCTGCACCGAGTGGTTGCCCGGCGTCAGCTCCAGCTTGTAGCCTAGAACGCTGTTCTTCAGGTAGCTGGCCCGCGAGATGCACTCTATGGTCGGCTTTTTCTGTGCAGAAGGCAACCAAAAGATGTTTATATAAACAAACACTTGCTGAGCTTTCTACCAACTTACATTATCACTGTTCACAGAGGAGGAGGACGACGACGACGA